TTCTGGAGTAACAGTGAATCACAGTGTTGTTTTCAACTGAGTTTCTCTAATGACCACAGAGGTTGAACTTCTTTTTATGTATTTATTAGCCATTTATACTTCTTCTGAGAAGTGTCTATACGTTTCACTTGCCTGTTTTATGATTGGGTCTTTTATTTGAGGAAGGTCTAATTTTGAGAGTTCTGCATGTATTCTAGATTTTAGTCTCCTGACCAAAGAATAGTAGAAAATTTTTTTCCATTCTTCAGGTTGTTTCCTTTATTGGTTGTTTCATTTGTGATGAAGATTTTTAACCTGATATAATTCCACTTGCTGATTATTAATATTATTTCTTGTGCAATCAGAGTTCTGTTCAGAAAGTCCTTGCCTACCTATGTCTTCAAGTGTTTTACTTATTTTATCTTCCAGTAGATTGTTTCTGTTTTAACGCTGAGATCTTTGACCTATTTTGATTTTAGTACAGTATGTGGTGAGATATTTGGGTCTCAGGTCAGTCTTTTGCATGTGGGTAGCCAGTTTTCTGGCACCATTTATTAAAGACACTGTCTTTGGAGGACACTATGACATAAATGACATAAGCCAGACATAGACAGACACTGCATAATACCTCTCATGTGTGGAATCTAAAAAGGCTGATCTCACAGAAGTACAGAATAGAAAGCTGTTGCCAGAGTCTCAAGGAGGAGAAGGGAAGACAGGAAGGGTGAGATTGGCCAAGGAGTACAAAGTCACAATTAGACGGTTGGAATAAATTCTTCTACTGCACAGAAGAGTGACTGTAGTTAACATCAAAACATAATTATCAAAATAACTATAATAGAGAATTTTTAATGTTCTCACCACAAATAAATACCTGTTCAAGGTAATAAATAGGCTAGCTACCCTGATTTGATCATTACATAGTTTATACATACATGAACACATCACACTGCACCCTGTAAATGTGTATAATTATATTACGTGAAAAATAAAACTTCTGTTATTTTTAAGGAAATTTTTTCATTACTTCTGTCCAAAGGATTCAGGAAGTATAGTGATATTTGACTAGAAAATTAAGAGTGAGAAATGATTTTCCAGAAATACAGAAAGAGAGAGAAATGATAGAAAATGAAAGGCACGTATACTGGGTGGCTCCTTCCTTCCACCCCCTAATCCTCTTTCTGCCTATATCTACCCTGATAAGTAGATTTTACTATTTATGTGGGAAATGTACAAAGAAGCTTGTCTGGAAATATCTTTAAAATCTCAAAGATACGTTGTAAACTGAAAAAAAAAAAAAGTGTATAGAACATTCTATGGTTTGTGACACAAAAGTGACCAAACATAGATAAGGTCTATAAAACAAATGGAGTACCACTAGATGAAGAGGCAGGACCCTGGTATTGTAAAGGAAACAAGAGCTGGGCTGCTTGGCTGCTCATCCTCGCACCATAGAGTGAGCCTCCTTTGCTACTTTTAATCAGCTCAGACTAGCTCTGCAGAGCCTGTTTCTTTTCATGCCTTTAATAAAACTTTTTTAGCAAAAAAAAGAAAGAGAGGGAGAGAGAAGAGCTAAATGTCTAAATAGGGGGATTTTTTAGAGTAGAGCTTTTAGTGACTTTTGAATTTTGAACCAAGTATGCTATTATATACTTTTACTGGGTTTTTGTTTGCTTGTTTGAGACAGCTATATAATACCAGCTGGGCTTGAATTCACTGTGTAGCCCAGGCGGGTCTCAAACTCCCGCCTCAGCCTCCCCAGTGCTGGGGTTAAAGACATGCACCATCACTCCTGGCTGTTACTATGTATTTTTAAATAAGTTAAAATGTTGGAGGTTTTGCAAATGATTTAAAACAAATTAAAAGAACCTATTAACCCCTATTTTTTATTAATCATTTTAGGTTTTTTCCTTTGAATCACTGGGCAAACAATTTACTTAACTATGATTTATGGCTGTAGGGTGAGTGAAATAGTTTTTTTGAATAGGAAAAAAAGTTGGGTTTTTTTTTTTTAAAGTAGTCTTGAACACCTCAGAATGAGAACTAAAGTGAGTGAGACGGAAGAAGAAGCCACAGAACTGGATGGTGCTGGGCAGGAAGAGAGGTGTCACCTGGTGGACAAAGTGGACAAAGGCGCCTGAGGATGAAGCGGGGAGGCCCTGAACAGGAGGAGCGAAGGGCAGCCACGTTAGAAGGATAATAAACTAACGTCAGAAAAGACACTTGGCATTTAGCAGGCATGCGTACCACTGCCATGACAAGATCTGTGCAAATGGACAGACAGAAGCTGGGTGTCACAGAGAGCAATGTGTTCATCATTGTTACCCCCGTGGACATGTTTTAAAAGGTTGTTGTACTTTCTTTTCTTCTTCTTCTTCTTCTTCTTCCTCCTCCTCCTCCTCCTCCTCCTCCTCCCCCTCCCCCTCCCCCTCCCCTCTCCCCCTCCCCCTCCTCCTCCTCCTCCTCCTCAAAATCCATTTTATTTCAAGGATAAAAAGGAAAGAAGGAGGAGGAGGAAAAGAAGAAGAAAAGCAAGGGAGCCCTTTCAAGATGTTTGGGGGAGAAGAGAGGAGACAGAGAAGAGAAGGCAGAGACCAGCAGGAGGGAAAACTGTTTTTGTGCAATCAGTTTTGGTGGCTGTTTTTAAAATACAGGCAGCACACATATGTTTACACTGAGAAGAGAAAGAAAACTTAAAGATCCTGCAGAGAATGAGTGAGATGTGGGCTCCTTGGCTGGTGCTTGAGAGACTCTCAGAAGCCCAGATGGAAAGGAGAAGAGACAGATCTAAAGCCAGCACGGTGCCATTAAAAAAATGCGGACAAGGACAGGGAAAAGGTTTTATCCGAAGAAAGGACGTTTATCTCTTAAGGTGAATTACAAGGGCTGAGGGTGTAGCTCAGCAGCATAAGCGCCTGCCTGGCAAGCGCAGGGTCCTGGGTTAGATTCCCAGTACCCAAAAAACAGAAAAAGAATGAAGTACAGCCAGGCTTGGTGGCGCACACCTGTAATTCCAGCACTCTGGGAGCCAGAGGCAAAAGGATCACAAGTTCAAATCCAGTTTAGGCAAATAGCCACTCAAGAAGATCCTTTTCCAAAATAATGGGAAAGAGGTCTCAGTGTGAAGTCCTGGGTTCAATCTCCAGTACAGAAAGGGAAAAAAAGAGTGACATACATAGAAACAGGGCTTAAGAAAAAAGAGAAAAAACTTGAAAGAAAGACTACAAAAGGGAGAAATCTCTGCCATTCGTTCAAGAATCACCTTAGAAACAAATGCAAAACTGGCCATTCAGTTGAACAAAGAATTAGAGAAAACAGTTTTAAATATTAATTCACTCACTCTTTTTCAATCAAAAATGTTTGGGGACCAGGGCTGTGGTAATAACCATGAAAAGGGCTCTAAAACTCCCTCCTTCTGACACTAAACCCTTGTATAATCCCTTCCCTTTGAGAATGCGCTGGGCCCTTTGACTCACCTCAAAAAACAGAACATGACAGAAGTAATGAGACGCTAATTTTGAGATTAAGTGATAAAAAATAGTATTATTGGGGCCAGGGGTCTAGCTCAGCCGTATAAGATCCTGCCTGGCAAGTGTGAGGTTGTGAGTTCAATCTCTGACACCAAAAAGAAAAAACAAAACAAAAAAACCCAAACAATTCTGTTACCCAAAAGAATTTCTGGGTTGGGGATTTAGCTCAGCGGTGTAAGTACCTGCTTGGCAAACATGAGGTCGTGAATTCCAGCCCTGGTACCAAAAAAAAAAAAAAAAAAAAAATACTATCATTTCTGTCCTCTGTCTGTCTGTCTATCTCTGTCTCTGTCTCTCTCTGACTCTCCCTGTCTCTCTGTCTCTCTCCCCTCATGGAGATCTAGCTGGTATTCTGTGAGCTGCTCTATGGAGTGGCCTCTGTGGTAAGAAACTCAAGGAGGCCTCTAGTGGCAAACGGTAGCTCCTGCTTCAAGGAGCACCTGAGTGAAACCAGCAGTGCCCTTCACTCACCCAGGCCTTCGGCTGAGACAAAATCACTGGTTGGACAATTTGACTTCAATCTCTTGAGAAATTCTGAGGCAGAGCGAGAGGTTAAGGAATCCCCAGATTCCTGACTTCCTGACTTAAAGAAATCTTGATACAGTAATTTGGTTTGGTTTGGTTCAGTGCTGAAGATTGCACCCAGGGCCTTCACACTGAGCTACACGCCCAGGCCTTTTGTTTTTAGTTTCTTTGTTTTCAGACAGGATCTTGCTAAGTTGCCCAACCTGGGCTCAAACTTTCTATCCTCTTGCCTTAGCCTCCCAGCATTCTGAGATTACAGGCAGGGTCCACAACATCTAACTATGTTTGTGGTTTTAAGCAGCTAAATTCAGGGGAAATTTGTCAAACAACAGACACAGAACACAAAGCAATGAATAGTGAGCCAATATCCCTGCTCTCATGGAGCCTGTACTACCGAGAACAGCGACAAGAAACAATCAGTATATGAATGCACAGATCTGAAGACAGTGAAGTGCGGCAGTGCGGGGCAGTGATGGGGCTGATTAGAGGAAAGGCTTCTGCCGGGAGGTGACATCTGAGCTGAGAGGACAACACAGAGTTGTAGACTGGCTTTGAGGAAGAATGCTTCAGGATAAAAGCAATCAGTGTAACCCCTTGACACAAAGGCGCCACCGTATGATCCCTGGGGAAAAGAGGCGCAGGGTGGCGGGAGCCCCATGGCAGGGGGAACAGGGTGGGGGACCGCACCATCCACCAAATTGAAAGCTGTGGGAAGGAGAGGCCGATACCCACTCTGTGGACCACGGAGTGATGTCTGTGCAGTCGGGAGGCCCTTCACAGAGGAAAGTAGCTACATCAGAGCATTTCAGAGGACCTCAGCCTGTGTCAGTGAGTGTGTGGGAGAGAAAGAGATTGAAGCCAGTTTTCTCACACGTCTGCACCAGGACCTTTAAGTCACCGCCTAGACCATGAGTAGGGCCTAGCCCAGTCCTGCTGTGCCCATCTAGTCTTGGCAAGGGGTCCTACCTCTGAGGGACTGTGGGACACGCTGAGGCTGCTGCCGCAGGTTGGAGCCAAACAGGAAGCACAGGCCGTTGACATAGATGTTCTCCTTGCAGATCTGATGCACGGTAGGGCCACAGGCCTGAGGAGCAGGGTTCCGGTGCAAGGAGCTGGCCCAACTCTTGGGCCAGCACCCCTGCCTCAGAGAGTGGCAGCCCCGAGGCCCCATTCCTCCCCTCTGGACCCTCCTGGGATCCCAGGGCCACTCACCAGCAGCTGGGTGGGTTTGGTGGCAGCTGACAGGGACAGGCCCAGGGACATGTTCACAGCCTCTGCGGGCACTGAGGAGACAGATATGACACATATGGTTACCCTCAGGGGACTTAAAGAGGAGGTGTAAGAGCCAGGCGGAGAACCTTTGGCCTAGCAACGTGAGATCGTGGAAAAGCCAAGAAGTTACCTAAAGCCTACAGAGAGAGCAGAGACTGGGGAACCCCCACCACAGAGCCCCAGAAGAGAAGCATGGGGATGGATCCCTTGCTCTGGCTCCAAGCAGGGCAGTGACTCACCCTGCAGGGGGACAGGCTCACAGCGGCTTGTGCTGTAGTCGCACTGGTAGAGGCCACCTGTCTGGTTGGCAGTCCTGATCTCCTGGGGGGCTCCAACCACCATCCTGCAGGGAGAGGTAGAAATCCAGACAACACTGACACAGGCGGAAGACACGAGGGATTCTCACAAAGCTCCTGGATTTCAGTAAGGAGAAGAACAAATCAACAAAGAAAAAAGTGGGAAATGTTTTACCAAACGGGAAGGGAAGACACAGAACTCGGAGGACAGTTTAAGATGGATAAATTGAGCCTGGCGTGGTGGTACAGGCTCACAGTCTCAACACTCTGGAAGAGTAAGGCAGGAAGATCCTAAGTTGGGCAATTAAGAAAATGACACCCCGCCTCAAAATAAAATCCTAAAAAATTAAAAAGGGATAGGGAGGCATCTGGGTGAAGGCCCTCAGTTTAACTCCGCATATTATAAATGAGTAAATATTCTACCATATAGTCATTTTAAATAAATTTCTAGTAATAGCCAAATGTTGGAAATAACACACGTGCCCATCAACTGGTGAATGGATAAAGATGGGGCTGTTTTATTCAATGGAGTACTACTCTGCCATGAAGAAAGATCAGCTCAAGACATTTCTAGGAAAACGGATGCGCTTTGAGTCCACATCTTAAGTGAAATAAACCAGGCACATGTGTGTAAATACCACATTGTTTCTCTGGTGTGAGAAACCAAAAGCAAAAAGATGGACCAAAATGTATAATGGGTACTGTGAAATAGGAAGAAAATGTTCAAATGGAGAGGGGAACCAGGGAGTGGGGAGGGAGAAAGGAAAGAAGGGAAAAGTAAAACAAAAGTGAGAAAAGAAGGAAAACATGGAAACAAGGCTTTTGTAAATGGGGAGGGGAGGAAGAGCTGAAGGGAGGGGAGAGGAGCGCGAAAACAATCACGTCCTATCAAAGTACAAATTCTCTATGATGAATGCGATCATTACGTATATCTAACATGTAACAAAATCTGATTTAAAAAGAAAATTAAATAAAATAGATTTCTGTATATTATAAACTATTGTAAACAAAGTCAAGAAACATGAGAAATGGGGCCAAAGGGAGACTTAGCTCCCACCTCAGGCTGCCTCCCGCAGCATCACCAGTTCCTACAAACCATTAAGGGGCGGAGAAAAGGTGAGCAACACCAGAAAAAAGAGAAGTGTTTACAGAAAAGGAAATACATCCCTCATAAAAGGAAGAACAATTTGAAATTAAATTGTGAGCCAGGCACAGTGGCCCATGCTGGTAATCGCAGCACCCAAGAGGGTGAGACAGGAGGGTCACTGAGAGTTCAAGGCCAGCCGGGCCTACATAGTGAGACTCTGTCTTGAAAAACCTAAGCAAATAAATAGATAGATAGATAGATAGATAGATAGATAGATAGATAGACAGATAGATAGAAAAGAATAAAATAAAAAAAGAAAAATTAAATTGTGATACTGGATTTATAACAATTAGTTAAATTTGATAACACAATGAATTGGCAAATGAATGGGAAAGCAGATGTTTCTACAAATTTCTGGGGCAAGAGTAAATTGTTACTACCCTTACAGAGGGCAATCTAGAAAACTCTCTGAAAGTCAGACCTACCTGTGTACTCTTAGGAAGGACCTAGCAATCCCTGTGCTCAGAATTTACTTTCAAACATACTTGCACATGTATAAAATCATAGCACTGTTCACGTAAAAGTTTGGAAACAATTTAAATGGCCCTTAAGAAGAGGTTTTAAGGAAGAACTGAGATAAGTGGCTTCTGAGGCTCTTACCGGGATCCCTCCAGCTGGACCACGGTCTGCCCGAAGCCCCGTGCATTCTCTTGGAAGGTGATTGGATTCTCAGTGTCCAGGTTGAAGCCATGACATAAGGCCAAGGCTAGAGGGAGAGCAAAAGGGTGAGGGTCAGGCCAGGGAACGGAGCTGCCTGCCTTCCCGCCCAGACGCCTGCCTGCCCAGATGCCCAGCCCAGCATCAAGACCAGAACGTCTGCCTCCCAGCCCAACTCCGATGGCCTGGGCGGAGCTCCCCACACTGTCTCTACCGAGGGCCAGGGAGTAAATTTCCAGCTTTGCAGGCCAAAGGGCAAAGCGTGTTACATGAGTGCCTAAATGAGAGAAGATACATTTCCACAAGACGTTTATCAAATACACCATACAATTGTGATAATTCGCAATACAATTATTGCACATAATTTTTTGTAATACAAGATTACTAATGAAACACAACCAAAGTTCTTTAGGGGGATGGTTTTTCACTTAACTGGGATTCAAAGTGAGAGTTCCCAGTCACCAAAGTGATTATAAATATTCATATTTAACTATGACTTCGGAACAGCCAGGACTCACTAAGCCACACTGACTGTGGGTCAAGTCTGCTGACTCAGCCCGAGGGCGGTGGTCACCAGCTGAGCCGGCTCAGTCTAAGCTCCAACCTCCATCTGAAGAAACAAACTGGTCTTTTACTCAATGTTGCCACACAATGATTTATCCAACAATGAAGTTTCCATAGACTTCCTCCCTACGTAATTCTCAAGCATTTCCTTCCCTTTCTGGTTCATTTTCCACAAAACATGAGCACAAAAACAAACTAACTTATATCTTTTTTTTTCTGGGTACCAGGAGTCAAACTAAGGACTTTGTGCTTGACAGGCAGGTGCTGTGCTGCTGAGCTATCTCCCCAGTCCTAACTCATATCATATTGATTCATCAGTCACTCAACAAACATTTACACTTAATTTTTGTTAAACAGAACTAGAAGCAAAGTGAAGGAGGTAAACTAGACTCCAAGAGGAAACCATCTAAGAGGACAGTCCGACTGTTGTATACTTTGGCCATGTCAGTCACTTCTCTAGGCCTCATAGTTTCCCCAACTATGAGGTGAGGGAATGCCAAACAGTCCTGCATCCAAGCCACCCTGCCCATCCCATCTTGGTCTAGCTCTACTCTCTGCCTCTTCTTCAATTATTTATCCTTTCCCGTACCCTCTTCGTTCTTGTCCAGTCTAACTCTTACACCGTCTGTGTCCCTTCTCTTTGCTCACAGACCAAAAAGTTCCCCTCTGCCCCACTTAGAGGAGCCCAAGTCCCCAGCGTACCTGTCACAAGAAGAGCTCTACAGGTCATGGCCGAGAAGAACAGGAACTTGGGAGAAGCATAAGCCGTGGAGTGACAGACACCAATGAGCCACTTCAAGGAAGTTGCCAAAACCAGGCAAGGTAAAAAAGAGAAGTAGGAGACTGAGGGCTATTACAACTCAAAGGAAGAGGGTGGAGACTCTGCGAGCACCCGGCCCTACTGCACTGTCCTGCAGAGCCCCCACACCCTGCTTCTCCTCCTTCCCTGCTTTCCTGGATCAAATCACCAAGGCCACTATCCAAAAGGTGCCGCTGGTCACCCATTTGCTTGTGGAGTTGGCCAAAACATATGAAAACCATGCTAAATAGCATTTGTTCTGCCTTCTGGAATCTGTGTTCTGAAAATTAATCTAGACAACACAAGTGCAGAACAAACTTTATGTCTCTCCAAAAGCAGGCTTTGCAAAATGTTCCCCCTGCAGCCCGTAAGGATTGGGGAACCTTTCAGCCAGAGTTGTTCTCAGCAAAGACAATTCAGTACAGAGGAACCTAATACTTCTTAAATTTTCTGCTTTTTAATAAAAGGCTTGTAATAGTCAGCTTTCCTCTCTCTGAGACACAATTCTCTACACCCATAACTTAAAACAGGAGAGGTTTAATTTGGCTTATGATTGCAGAGTACTCAGTCCATTGTTGGTTGGCTCCGAGGCAGAAACATCATGGCAGAAGGGAATGGCAGAGCCAACCTGCCTGGTTTATAGCCACAAGAAGCAGAGAAGAGGGACAGTTCCAGTGAGGATGGAGCAAGAGACTGGGGACCACATAGACTCCAAAGCCAAGACCTTCATGATCTACCCAGATACACTGAGAATTGTGCTCCACCAATGCCCTGGATGGCTCCCCAAGCCAATTGTTATACCTTGTGTCTAGACGTCCCTTAAAACCTCATGCAGTCATAGGTGGGGTTTTTAGAGGTAGCTGGGTCTAGAATGTATGATGCTGGAATCAAATGTGTGATGCTAGGATCTATGGTGTTTCATTATAAATTGGTCTACTGATTGGTTTAGCATAATTCTGGGCATGCCGGCCATTGACGGCCCCCTGGGTGAGTGCTACCCACTCTAAGGGTGTGTAGCCTGGATAGACAGTAAGAGAAAGAAAGAGGGCTGCCACTGCAATTTGCTGCTTGCTGCTTTTGCTGCCTTCCGCCTGCCACAAGCTATTTCTCTTCTGTGATGCCCCTCTGCCGTCCACCCTGCCCTGGAGCCAGCCAGTTAGGGCTGAAACTGCTACAAGCTGTGAGCCAAAATAAACCTTCCTCCTTTAACTTTGAGTGTCAGATATTTTGTCTCAGCAACAAGAAAAGTAACAAAGACACCAAACAAGCTGACACTCCACACTAACCTCCATAAGCCTCAAACATACTATCCAAGAATTTTTCAGCTCCAAGACATATTTTAAGAAATGTAACTCTTACAGTCCCAACTACCCTGGAGGCTAGCACAGGAGAATCACCTGACCCCCAGATTTCACAACCAACCTGAGAAAACCCCATCTCTTCTTTTCAAAAAGTGAACTAGCTGGGCATGGTGGGCTATATCTGTAATTCCAGCAGTCCCAGAGAGGAAGCAGAAGGATCACAAATTGAATCCCTACCTAAGCAATTTAGCCAGGTACTAAGACCTTGCCTCAAAATAAAAAGTAAAAATGACTGGGTATATAGCTCCATGCAAAGGCCCCAGGTCAAAAATGAATAAGAGTAACAAAAATAATAGAATAAATAATTAAGAGAGCCAGTCAAAGATGTACATACAAGATGTTTATTGCAACATTGTTTTCAATGATGACCAGACAGATCTGAATATCTAAGCAGAATGGTTAAATGTCTTACTCCATAATAAGTCTTTACATTTCATTTGGCTCAGTAACTAATTCTGCGTTCAAAGGCTCAGAAAATATTTTCACAATATATATAAAACACCAAAATGAGATAGAATAGAAGGAAAAGGATGGGTGAGAAGGAAAAGTATAATTTCATAATTATACTTTTAAGAAAACTGCTACATTCGGTCATCACAGGTTCTTCATGTCTGTACTCCGTGGCTTTACTCCTGGTCTGCAGATGCTTCTAGACCTTGTTTTCTTGTTTTCCAGCCCATCATACCCAAAGTACCTTAAAGATACTGTAAATGCATATATTATCTTAGTTGGCAGAGTAAAGGACGGGAGCCTGGCTTTAAAATAAAAAAAAAATTTGAAAGATTCAAAGACTGTTTTTAGGCAAGACATTTTAGTGTTCCCATCTTAAAAGACACTCAAAATCTTCAACTCTAGACCATAGGAACCCTCTCTCTCTTAGTTGTGAGTCTGTACTTCTTTAATTCTGCCTAATAAAATATTTCTATGCCTCTCACTGATGCATCCTGCAATTCTTTTCTGAGACCAGTCCTTCAAGGAGGGGATATAAAAAAGGACGCTTAGTTTTTGAGGAACACAACCCCAACAAAGAATGACACACAAAGGTTGCAGCAGCCATTCAGAATGCAATGCCATGTTAGTCATCCATGATGAGAAAAAAGAGCTACTACTCAGACATCATCGGATCATTTTTCAAGAGGGAAGACAGAATTGAGTCCATCAAAAGATCTATATCATCAGCATCAGGTGTGGGCCAGATTCCATCTGGCCCGCCATCTCTGTGGTGATGACCCTTCGGCTCCACTACCTCCCCCAGCCTCCCTCCCCCAGTGAATAACTCTCTGCTTGTTGGTTCACTCACTTCATGCAGACCCTTACGTGCCAGTTGCACTGTAGTGTTCATGAATCAAATTATTTGAAAACAGAAGTGTTAGTAAACCGAGGCATTAATGTATTTTAAAGTAACTGTAAAAGAAAACATAGTTTATTCACAATATTGTTGTGTTTGGCTTTTTTACACTTTACATTGTACCTTACTGTCAAAAGTGTATGAGTCACTCTGTTGGACTTATAAATGCATCTGATTTAGGAATGTTCTCCCAGAGTGGAACTTGTTTGTAAATCAAAGATTTACAATACATTCATCAGGGGTTCGATCCATTGAGAGTTCATAGCTAAATGTACTGCCAGAAGGTGGGGCCTGGTCTAAAGAAGTGGGTTAGGGTTAGACTTGGACAAAGGAAAGGGGAAGGAAGGAAGGAAGGAAGGAAGGAAGGAAGGAAGGAAGGAAGGAAGAAAGAAAGAAAGAAAGAAAGAAAGAAAGAAAGAAAGAAAGAAAGAAAGAAAGAAAGAAAGAAAGAAAGGAAGGAAGAAAGAAAGAAAGAAAGAAAATACTATGAAAGGTTGTACACCAATGAATTGGATAACCTACATAAAACGGATAGATTCCTAAGAACCTAGGAATTCTGCCAAGGACTAAACTATGAAGAAATAGAAAATCTGGATATACCTATAACTAGTAAAGAGATTGAAGCAGTCATTAAAAGTCTCCCAGCAAAGAAAAATCCTATGTCTGATAATTTCTCTTTTTTTCTTTTTTTTAAATTTTATTTAAGAAGAAAAAGGAAAAAAACAGAAAAAGGGTACAATTTATATAGAATTTCAAAAAAATAAACAGTAGGAAATCACTAGTTAATAGATTACATATTATCATCTTAGAAATGGTTGCTCAAGTTACAAAATTAAAGCATATAAAATAGACATTCAGTGAGACTGCAAACAGTTCTGTTCAATGATCCAACAAAAACTCGGTAATATGATTATCTATCTTATATGCTTAAATATACATGCAGTTATATCCTTTAGAGCACTTTCTTTTCCTCTCTTTTTTACAATGAGAATTACACATTTTGGGTTTTATTATTCCCACAGTTCTTATTACTTTTTTTTAAGAGAATAAAACCAAATGTTACAGAACAAAACAGAGTCAGTCAAATCAAAAGTATGGCATAGTACATAATGTAAAAACAGAATACAAGGTGATCAACAATGGTTACCCTACTCTTGCTATCTTAAAAAGAATTACCTATATCATCAGTTATAATAAAATTGAACAAAACAGTAAAGAACAAAACCAAAACATTGAAGACATTACAGGACTTCAAAAGAAGATAATAGTCAAACCAGAATGGGCATCATAGTAAATCTTATTGTCTTCACAGTTGTTGCCTATACTCTCAAACTTGGTACTATCAAGCAAAACAGAATAGAGGAAAATCAGTCAAGACAAGATGGTGAGAGCAATACAGGGTTTCAAATCAAGTTAATAGGAAATCAAAGTGGGTTACTATAATGTATCCTGCTATTTTATTTATTATTTCCCTTCATTAAAAAGATAAAAATAAATAATAAATAATAAAAAAGGAGATTGAGATAAAAGAGGACATAACACAACAGCACAGGTCAAAACATAACAATTTAAGCAAAATAGTGTTTCACCAAAAGATATCCTGACATAAAAGTAGTTACCATAAAAAAAAAAGTAGTTACCATAGTGTCTCTTTCCTTGAAATCTTCGAGTATAACTTAGTATACTGTAGCATCAAACATATCAAGACAATGTAAAACCATTCAAGAGAATGACAGTATTACAGAGTATTTAGAACCAACTAACAGAAAATGAACAATGGTTTCTGTATTATCTCCTTGTCTATAAAAGTTTTTGTTTATATTATCACATATAATAAAATACAACATGTTAAGACTGATGGAGACAGAAGAACAAAAGCTTTATGGGACTTCAAAACAAGATGATATTAAATCAGCACTAGCTATTATGATGTCTTGTTTTCTCCAAAATAGCTGTTCCTACCATCCAACCTTCTCTGCCTTATTTCTGTTGAGCTCTTTTTCTGTCATTAGTTGTCAGTTTGTCTTCTTCATTTCACTTTCTGCTCCATTCATTGTAGCCTCTCTGCCACTGTTTCTGGAATCTTGGTATTTTTCTCTTTTAGAATGTCCTGAAGTATTCTCTGTAGAGTTGAATTGGTGGTTGCAAATTCCCTTAGTTCCTCTTTATCCTGGAAGCACCTTGTTTCTCCATTAATTTCTAGGGACAGTTGTGCAGGATATATCAATCTTGGCTGGAGATTATTGTCTTTCAAAGCTTGAATTATTTCACCCCATGTTCTTCGTGACTTGATGGCTTGTGCCAAGAAGTCTGCTGTAATTTTGATGGGTGTTCCCTT